CTATAAAAATTAAATAAAAAGGTAAAGAGGTACTAGGTAACCATAAAGGCTTTTTACTTGTATATTTTAATCAATATAAAAGTTATTTTACCTGCTATAAGTAGAAGTTATTATTGGAATAGCTGTCTCTCGCAAGTACTTTATACCTGATGGCTTTGTCAGAAAATCATTAATCGCAAAATGATCAGAACAAACAAAAATGTTGTCGTTAATATTGACCTAGGGAGAGCTTCCACAAGTTTCTCCCTTTCAGATTCTTAGTAAATCTAAAAAATACAGGTATTACTCATAATATATTATAATATTACTGAAACAGGAAAAAATAAGTTGAGCAATTAAAAAATATATCTTTTTAATAATTTAGATAATGATTTAGTCAGTATTTTATCACTGCTAATTAGTACTAAATGTAAAACACCCTTATGTAATTCCTCAAACGCCGCCCATGTTGCTTGTTTACTTACCTGTGAAAAGGCCGCTGCTCGCCATTTTTAAATAAAAATTACAAATAACGCACTTTCTAACTACGTCTTGGCACTAAATAAATTTCCATACATAAAAACTACACAACAATAAGAGGAAAATGCCACACTAAACACAAATAAACTCAAATACGTTAAAATAGCGGCTACACACTTTTTCTTTGACAGCTGTCATCGACAATCAACGAAATGCGGACGTAGGCGGGAATATTAATTCGACCAATAGAAATTTGTGTCTCCTGAAGTTCTGATTTATTTATGTACATTCGCAAACAAATACATCCAAAGCTCTTTCTAGTGGTTACAATTCGTTGGTTAAATAAATAAAACCGGCTTTTCTAATTAAAAAATACAAATAACAAATTAGAACTGGAATTAAGAACAACAACGAAGCAAGTCCTATTCATCATATAAACCTCCAGTAATATACATTTTTCTAATCTTTTTCTAAATTCCTTCTATACAGACGATAGGCATAAGAAATAATCTAATGAGGACAAGTCGGGTGTCCATGCAGGCCAAGGTATTGGTCCATAGCATCGGATTCACTTGTTCGGGAAGTGAACATCAAGCCACTTTTTCATTAGAAGTGTGGAATGTGCACGACATCCGTCTTGTTGAAATATTAGTTTTCATTTGAACTCTTTTTCGCTATTTAGTTCTGCCAAAACAAAATTATTGAGATTTCAAAATACGAATTTTGATTAAGATTTTCTTCCAAAAAGTGACCAATTATTTTATGATACATCATGCTACACCAGACATTCACTTTTTTTAATTTTATTAGTTATCAATCGAAAATTTGGATTATCTTTAGCCCAGTATCTACAATTTTGAGAGGAAACCCCGCCATTAGTTGTGAATGTTGATTCGTCAGTAAATAAAATATTGTGATGAAAGAATTGTTAAACAAAAGTCCAAACGACGACCATCATCTCTATCAAGCAATTTATGATTAAACACTGGTTTTAATGGATAGATTTTGTTGTATACTAAAATTCTTTGAATTTGAGATGAACTAATAAATATCTATGTTTTCTGACCTTTTCCTCAGTGACATCTTTGAATTGTCCTGTACAGAGACAGAATCCATAACTACAACAATAGCAGGATCATTATTATTATTCTTTTTTTTATCTTTTTAATATTCTTTACATTACCAGTGGTATCGAATTTTATAATTAGCTTGCGAACTGTTCTACGAGTTACAGTTACATTTGGGTACTTTTAATTAAAAATTTGTATTGCATATCGACATGAAACATTCCCGATTCCATAACATTTCACAAGATAAATTCGTTGCTCCAGGATTATTAATAAAAATTATTCGGGGGGCAGTTCATAAAAATAAATATGTTGACTTTGACTTTTTATTTGCAAAATGTGATGTGAGTGTTCTTTTCTGACTAACCACGTATTTAAGTATTTCTTGAGTTCCCGAACAACTTTACTAAATACAGTTTTTAACGAAAACAAAAATTTAGGCACTTTGCTTAAGGAAAATTTCACATTTGCCCATCCGAAGACACACTGCATTTTTTTCTTTCTAACCACCTCTTTGATAAAGATGAACTCTTGCAATAAACCATACTGGAGGTGATATAGAAAAATATATATTTTCTTTGAATTTTTACATTATTGTATAATTTCAATACGTCAGAGAGTATCTTTTCGTTAATACGTGAATTGATTATTTTTTACATTACTAGCTTGCCCATGAAGTAGCTCTTTGGTATACTTAGAAATTGGTATTAAAGAACATATATATATA